CGTTTTACTAAGGTACATAAACTTTTGGTATTAACTGTATAGCCAATACATCCTTAAGGGCAGATCGATTTTCCATTTCGTTTTAATAATTGAGGAAAATCTTTGTTAATATCTCGACAATAGTTAATTAGAATTGTGCACATTATTATTTCCAATCTGTTCGTAGCAGTTCGTCAAGTGGGAAACAAAAATGCCTATTGTCCGCGAACTTTCTCGGGGCAAAACTTGAAACCGAACAATCTGCCAGTTATTAGAGGAAAGACAAAGGGCGCGTTGTCCGTGGATTTGATCTCTCGCGAGCGGAGGCTATTCGAACGATGAATGATGAATACGTCCCATTTTCAATTCACCGAGCAAATTGCTGCCACGCGCATTTATAATAATGTTCAGAGAGCGAATCTGAATTTTTCTATCCGCGAAGCGGATAATGCGCGACGCAGCGTGCCTCGTACGATTAAATTGTCGCTGGATTTCCCGCGCCGAACGCGCTCCAATTGTAACGCGTTGTTCGACGCAAGGGGAACTTTCCAAATTTCCTGCTAACGTCGCACGAACACTTGCAGAGTGGGTTTTGAATGAATATATAATTCAAACTTTACAAGTGTACGTGGATACGCTCACCGTTTCGGACGGTGGGATAAATTCACGAAGGAGAAATGAGGAACGAGAAAGGAGAAACATAACCAACTCGTTTTTTGTCCTAACGGTGGGGTGCTGATACGAACGTGGTAGTAGATACCAAGGGACGTGGAAGGGATGATCGCCCCTTCATCTCGCGCCTCCCAACCGGCTGCTATAACTATACCTAATCTCCTTCCGCGCGGAGATAATTTTAGAGGCGGACGAAATAAAACAACTTTCGCGGCTGCACATGTTCAACTTCGAGAACAGCTGCGAGCCGAGTATCCGAGTTGAACTTTGAAACGTTAAATTCAACCGATTTTCATAATCTGTAAACGAGTTTTTACACATTTTTCATTTGCGTCAGAAAACACGCGTTTATTTAAATTGAACGGTATGAAAAAATAATATCGATGAGGTTTTACATTTAAAAGGCAAATTTATCGATCAGGTTCAGTAGAAAATACCAGATATCGTTCCCGATCGGTCAGAAACATGAGTAAATTTTTTTATATTAGCGTCTTGTGTTCTTTCAGCCATCAATTACGTTTACCGATGTAGAATTTTAAACGGGGCTGTAATTAATATTAACGACGCGTCGAATAATACTGAAGACTGGCGCAATACAGATTACATTCTCATTCCTAACGATGGTACACAAATGATTGATTTAACGAGTATGCATACATAGAATTTAAAATGAGATGTACCTTATTTATATAATTCCAAACTAATGGATCGAAATCGATTTAAGTCCTATCGAAGTAAAATGTGTCCACGTCAATGAGGGTATCTCGTGAGAGCCATAAATGAGGAAAATCGCGCAAAGTGGTCTTGATACTGAGAATGACGTGAGGAATAAATCTCTGAAAAAATCAATAACTCCGATCGAGTCACCAAAGGGGAACGAAAGGGAACAACGGCCCTCCCTCGAAAAAAAAAAACTAAAAATAGCAATGTCGAGGAAGCTGTATGCGATAGTCGTACAAATGAAGAACGTTCATCGAATCGAAAGAGGACAGCTTGTTTTCAACCTGGAGGGAATTCGCGTGGGAGTCGGTGCGGTGGACAAAAGAGGGGAATATACGCGCCTACGGTAGCACGTAGGGCCTGGTGGGGATGTCGCTTGTCTCTGTTTATCCTTGCCAACACAGTTATTTCCGTCTCCGTTGGCTTGCCCTCACCACTCACCTGAAGTAGAGGTGTTTCCCCGGATCCATTCGTGACGCGAGGGTGGTGGGAATCGGTGGGAAGCGTTTGCTAAGCGGGAACGTTCGGTCGTGTCTAGTCGTCGCCGGAGTTTCTGATAGTAGTGGGACCACGCACGCGACACTTGCACGTCTTATCGTTATTCGCTTTTTATCAATGGAGAGCTCGTGTCACCGACTTTCACGTTCACGTACGCACGCCTCGCGATTACGCTCAACGACGCACGCGCGGTACCGTGAGGAGAAGAGGAACAAACGCCCGGTTCTAAGGAAAACGAATCTTGAGATCCTCGAATCCAGTTCGTCCTGCCCGATGAACACTGTGTCGCGGCTCCAAGGAGAGTCGTTAGAGTAAAGGGAAGAATTTGGTCCCGAAGGCCGAGTGCGCGTTTCGCAGACACGCTCGCGAGTCTGATCTATTTCTTTTGTTCGATACGGTCGAATATAATCCTGGACCCACCGGTCGAGCTTCGAAGACATCGAAGAATTCGCCCCCGGGGCCTCTTGCTATGTGTGCGCACACGTACGCATACATCCAGAGCCGAGACAGACGTGATCTTTGTACCCGTTGTCAGTGAAGGCGGGGAAACCACGTTTCGAGAAACTGAAATCGTATAGTTCTAAATTGGTTTCGCTTCGATGAAGTTGAACCGCCTACCGAGAGCTAGAGAAATATCGTCAAGAATTTCACCTCTCGCTTCAATCTCAGTCGCGTTGCCAAGAAAAATAGGATTGGCAGTGGCATCGAAAAATTGACCCCAGGCTCGATGATGAAATTATTGAATGATTATTACGTTCGAAATCATTCTATGGACGAATAAAAAATATTTATGAAGACGCTATATACGTACACATTATCAAATAAAAAAAAAATTACATTGAAGAGAATTGGATATAATGACAGACGTCGATGGGCGAATCCAATAAGAAGCTTTGTAGATAGAAAGATATTCTTACGGGCGTATTTTTAAGGATGATCGTCGAGTAGCCAAAGAGTAAATTAAATCTGGATAGAGTTCAACTCAGTCCTTGAATCACGAAGAGTATCTATCAATATATATTTATTAGGTAGAAAGTAAAGGACGTATTTCAAGCTTGTAGGAAGCCATTGAAAATTCTTAGATACTACAAATTGTCAATCGGAAGTATCGATCTACAATTGGATCGAGAAGCACACTATAGAAGAGCGCGCAACCAACAGCGACTCGAAAGTAAAATAGGACACGTTTGGTCAGACACAGCAGCACGCAGACGCAGGTATTGCAAATTTTCTTACAAGACGCCAGAGAATGTTTTTTTGCTCGCGCAAATTCTATGCTATATACATGTAAATACGTAATGAGATTGCGAACAAAACGTAACAGTGGGTAAATGTATAAAAAGATTGCGTATTATAAATGTATGCTTATTGCATTGCACAGTGTTAGATTGGCGTAGGCGTAGAGAAAAGAGAGAAGCAACAGAATCGAAGGGAGACATGTCCTTTCTTTAGTGTTTCTTTTTTGATCTCTCCCACTCTCTCTCTCTCTCTCTCTCGTTCTTCTCTTTTCTTCTTTGAATTCATGATGGCAAGTTGACGCAATTCGTGGCGCAACAAGGTCGATTTTAACCACGAGAAACACGTGCTGGGAATGAAATAAAACTAACACGGAAGTTGTAGAAGAAATATTAAAGCCAGCTGTTTAAAATAGAAATCCGGTTTTGTATTGTTTAATTTTGTCAACAAGAAATTCCAAGATTTGAGTCTGTAGCGTAAGTCGAATTTCTTTGTTACAACTATAATATTTTAATGGGACACCCAAGAGTCGTACTGTTGGGAAAAGAACCGTTTCTTGGAGCGGAGTCACAAAGAACATTCAGAAAAGAGGGGATAAGGATAGTCCATGTGGCATCGTGAACTCAGGGTCGTCATCATCGTTCTCAAAGCCCCGCTTATACGTATTTATGATACTTCGTGCTCGAGTAATATTTGTCACAGCTGACCGCCATTCTTCTGTTCGTAAGCCATGGTCACAAATTAGCCGAACATAATGATTTTTATATAACTATCAAGTAAAACATAGATAAATTCATTAATCTTAAAAGCAGTTTCAAAACATTATACTCGTTATGTAAAAATTATAAGTAGAATTTAAAAAACAAATTGCTTATGAATAATTCATTCTTTTAAAATGAATAATATTAAACGCTAACAAAATGTTTGCTTATAAAAATATGACGTCTCACATACAACGAATCAACCATGAAACAGCTAATTGGCATTTCCTAAAATTTAAAAAGCTCCGATGATCGTGCGTAGAAGTAGCTACGAAAGTAGAGAGGGGAAAAGGTGGTGGGGATATCTGTACAAAGCGTGGTGCACCACCACGAAGACGGCACCGATAAGAGATAACAACCGGGCGCTCCTGTTTGCTCATCTCGCTTTTCCGATCCGTATCATTCTTTTCTTCGACGTGTTCGGTGCTCAAGAGGTCAACAGGCATCGGTGATCGGGAGCGAACGGAGTAACGGAGACGTCGCGTCGCGTCGTCGTCGTCGTCGTCCCGCGCTCACGCTACCCGCTCCTCGTCGATGATAAAACCGATGGAATAGCGGCGATCTCGTTCAGTACGTCTCTTCCGCGCACTCCGTGAGTTTTCTATTGGCAGCTGTTATCGTTGCCGTGAGTCGTCCCAAGCCACGGACGCGTCTTTTTCTTCGACGTGACAGAAAGTCTCGGTCTTTTCAATTTTTGTACGATCCCCGAACCTCGAGTTCATTTATTCTTTTTCGAGGAAAACTAAAACTTGATTCGATCGAGTGTTGTGACCAACGTGCGTTCGGTAAAGAAAGAGCAATTGTCATTAAAAACAAGTGGAAGCGTACTATGTACTGTGTTTCCAAACTACGTGCTCCGTTCGTTGGAGACTGTTTAACTTGGCACGACGGTCTGAAAGTTTTCAACAATCCGAGACGCTGGAGACAGGGCGAAAAGTTTGTTTTCTTAGGTGACTAGTTAGTGAATCGATTTCAAATATATCGACTCGTTACTTGCCTAGCTAAATTCCCTGTCTCCCTGACCGACTTAATGACTATTGGTCGATCGATTGGCCGAATTCCTTCCACAAATTTTCGGACAGTGATGTTTAACGAGGAGTAGTTGAAGAAAGGCGATCGTATAGGTAAAGAAGAGAAATAAAAGAAAAATCGCTGATCGAGAGAGAAGGGGGAGAGAGAAAAGACGTTGTGCAGCGGGCCCACTGGTGTTAAAGTACTTGAGACAGTAGTTTCCAGTTCGAGGAGGCAGCAGGAGCTTCCCTCGACTTTTTTAAAACAAAAGTGACGTGCAGGAGACGCGTTATGGTGGCGAGTAGCAGCTGACAGCGCGTGGCCAGACATAAATCGGTTTTACGGGAGGACAGACGTGTGGAGCCCACCTCTTCATCATGATACAAATATTCGCGGACGCCTTCAGAAGCCTGATAAGTGAGTGTCCCGGAGATACTGTGCTTTTAAATCATACGTACAAAATTCCTAAACAATATCGAATTTGAGAATTACTCTGATACATCATTTAGAATATTCATTTTATATTAATCTCATGTCAAAGTATTAAAAGTTAAGGAAAAAGCGAAAGCTTCGTTTAAATCAATTTGTTCGTACAAATGGAAACTCTCCATCATTTCGTTTTACTTCGTTATACATATCTTTGAACGATAGGATTTCATAGTTCTCACGCTCACGTGTTAGTGTCCACGCAGCGGTCATATTAATCAAATTATTTATATCGCATACTAACAGTAAGGCCTGTCATCAAATGTGGTCACGTAGAATCATATACATATGTCGCATCCGACCGAAACGACGCCGCGTGTGCGAATGACATTACGTTATGTCACTATAATAGTCGTTACGTTAAAATAGTAATCGTACGCAACACTACGTATCTCGCGTCGATTTATCTGAAAGAAAGAAAAAAAGGACAGGAAAAATTAACAGAATCTGTTCATTATTAATGGACGAGAAACGATGGCGATAATCGCCACGATCACGAAATTCCATTCAGTAGAATTATTTTCAGCCTACGTTGCACATAATGCACGGGAATTCCGTTTGACAGTCTGGGATAATTCGTTCTGACTCGACAAGAAAAATTGTTCAGGCTCGGTTCTTATATAACTTTGATCAATTGTTCGCGATCGTAATTACTCCCCCACAGCTTTTATCAATTAGTGTCCATTATTCGAAAGCATTGCTCATTCTTTTATTGACGAAAATCTTCGGGAAACCGTCTGAATAAGAATATCTCGTTCAGTATATCTATCGAAGATTCTATTTCCAATCCGGTCGAATGCTAAGTTCGCCGGTCCATTAGCCTCGTTCGATCTCTTGGGAGCGGAAGCTTTTCCATCCGACATTGTTTCCTGTCTTTTTATTCACGGTTTCCATCAGCCTCTTGTGCACGTGATCGACCTTGCGGTTTTCTTCGGTTCGAGCTTCTTTCTCTCACGATCGGGCAACGGCATACGTGACTGGTGCAACGTATCGAAAACTCCGTTCTAGATTCTGTTGCTTTTATATACACGTCCAACCCGCATCCTGCTCAACGGCTTACGAGAGTTTTCCGAGAGCTGCTAAATTTAAGCATCTTGCGAACCATAATGACGCAACCTTTCTTCCTTCTCCACAGCTTCCGATCATAAATCCGTCTATCCTCGCCTGTCCCACGATTGACGTTTGACACTTTACCGCGTTCGAAGCCAGGTGACTTCACGTTTTGCGTCACTCAAGTGTCATTTGCGATGTTATTTCGATTGGCAAAGTAACGAGGATAAGAGGAAATAGAGGAAAAGTAAAAATTTAGTAAAGTACGAATTAATTTGAAGAACAATCTGAACTTTCATTTTAAAGAGAATTGATTAATGAAATGTAAAAGATCAACCTGCCATTCACCTCCAATTTGAACCGTCGAGAATATTGCGATATAGAAGATTACGTAATTTCTTTCTTTGCAAATGCAATTTGGATATTATTAGCAGATTGTTTTATTAATCGTTTTATATTAAGATAAAAAATTGTATTAGAAATTTTATCCTTCTCAAATCTATTTTAAACTTCACGCCAGGTTTTTGCACGTTGTTTTAATTCAATAAATTATTCACTTCTATCTTTGGTCGCAAACCTGATCTTTATATAACTTTATCTGCCAAACAGCACGACAAAAAGTTTTACAACTTTTTTTATTCAGTCTCCAGGGCGAAGCAGAAGTTACAAACTTTTCCAGGAATAGATAGATACCTCACGGGAGGTCTGAGAGAGATTCTATAGAAGATGTAAACTTTGAAAAATAGCTGGAAGCAATTTATTTGCTCGACGTTTCTTCAAGATTAAAGTTCCCATTTCCGCCTTCGATTTAGTTCGATTCCCGGGACGAACTATGCTAAAAGGAATTCACCGTGCTCGGTAACGTTCCTTGAAACGATTCCGCGTCGCGCACTGCAGGAAATGCCGTTCGGCCCTGACAAGTGGCATCACGACCACGACCGGTCGCGGTCTGTCGGTCGCTCTCAAGGATTAACTAAGTTAGAGGGTTAGCGACAATTGCGGTTGATTGAACGATCACTGAAGAGACCCTTACGCTCGCTGTATCCAAGTACACACTCGAAACATACCGGTTTCAGTCCGTCCGAGCGCCTCGAGGAATCCGCTCGACTGTCCAAAACTTTCGACAACTTGAATCGAAGTTTCAATCGTTCCAATCGCAAAATTCGATCGACTGGTTCGTGATAAGAGTCAGTGTTTGCACTTTGACGAACTGTATCTCTCCGGCAATCTTTGTACGGTATCGTGTAGGTATGTACCTTTATTTGTTCACATAATACACATTTACTTCTAATAGAAACTAGTGCAACGTCTAAAAACTTTGCAAGCATCGTCTCACGCGTTTGTAAAAATTAAAAGAAATATTGCGAAATCGTTGGTATATCAAATAGCACGTGATGGATCAGCTCATCTATATTTTCCTTTAAAATATTATGTATACACATAGAGATAGTTCATTGATGATAAAAGGATCGTTCGATCATCGGATGATCGGAATCCCTCCTCCGATGTGTCAATGGTCAAATCGCAGAAAAGCTTGCATAATATCTATAGTAGCAACCATTTCCAATTTAGAGCTTTACCGTGCAACGATGCAATTTCGTTGATTATTAATAAACCAAATTGTGTTTGTCCTGGAAAGACGTTGTTGTTGGCTAATGAAAGATCGGGTGGATGTTTGAACAAGAAAATGCATACATGCATGTTCTTCATGTATGAAATATTGGATCGAAATATGGAAATAACTGACTGAAATCTAATTGGATATCGTCTACCGTAATAATTTCTACACTGTATACGTGTTCACGTGAATTAAAATAAAATGAAAGAGATATGTGTAATATCGTGTTTGCATATATAGTACGTATGTATACATACGAAGGCATCCAGAGAGAGAATTGTATCAACATATGTCAATAATCGATAGTTCGCCCAGATTAAAGTTGAAAGTTGAAAGGTCGTACGATAGCGGATCATACGATGATAATGCATAGAATATAGATCGATTTCTATTTTTCAAATTTAGTCTTAATCACGTAATCATTAAATAAGAGTTAGCAGTTATTCATTTAATTGCAGAGTAATGTGACGAATATAGCGTGTTCGATAGTCGCAGAGAAATGTCTCTCGATAAATCAAATTGGACTAGACTAGATCCGTATTTATTAATTAAGAATTATGAAGCTTTTAAATTTCAGCGACATTAAAAATCTAAATTACGTAAAATGTTATTACGATTATACGACTTGAAACGAATAATCTCAAGAGTACCTACTGATTACAGAATTAATTTAAGATACAATAAAGAACTAATGACATCGGTATCATTTTTATCATTGAAATTAATGATTACAGAATTAATTTCAGATACAATAAAAAACAAATTACATCGATATCATTTCTATTATTGGCGACGTTTCGTTGCGTAATGTCAAATTCAATTGAATCGCTCAAAAGGGACTAGACGATTTTATGCAATTATGTACCCGTTTTTTCTCTACTATTTCTTTTGCTCTTTTTTTTTTTAATGTCAATCGTGACTATGTTACCGAGTCATTCCAGTGGACTTTGCACGACTCGATCCGTAGCTTCGCATTGTATCATTTCCATGAGTCATTAAATTATTAAACGCTGCCACATCTCGTGTGTTCACGACCGTTGCAGTATTTCATAGTCTTCTTATCAGCAATTAGCTTCACATAAACGAGCGAATTACTGTTATAATTACTAAATAATTATTTTGTAAAAATAAACAAAAGTACAAGTATTTACACTGCAATTAACCATACGTTGGGGGTTACCAAACATGAAAGACTATGATTATGCAAAATACTTCGCAATATCTACTTCGAGTTTATTTGTGTTTTCTCATATCAATTCTTATCGAACTCGATCTCTGTAAACAAATTATAAAATGCAACGAGTAAACGCAATGAAATTGAAGAATGGAAGAAATATTAGGGAAAGAGCTTTGAAATGTTTATTCGTTGCTTAAGTTGTAACTTCTCATTTTAGGAAGATTACTCGCGGTAATATAACACATGTTAACTTGGGGCTTATCGTGATCGTGCCAGGGACGCGTAAACTCGCGGTTTGGTCGCCGCTGTGATTTGATAAGTACGCGTGTCTCCGTGGAAACAGTGTACATTTGTACTTATAGCGAGCGCTGGATCTGTTCCATACGAATAACGTGTAGAAAGCGTTCGCGTGTGAATCGAATCAGCCGTTTCCTAGTCAACAATCTAAATTCTAAATTGTGGAAGGGGACCATTAGTCACTGGTAATTCTCAATCGTTCACGTTTTGATGCTATTTTCGGTGTGGTTCTGTTTAAAAATTGCATTCACGAGAATCTGATAGTGAAATATGTGCACTGTACGTTTGTGAATGCCAGAGTGATGTGCACGCGTATTTCCATATAAGCCGGTGCATTCAGTAACGCGAATAACTCATAAATATTCACGTATATAAATATTCTGAGGATGAGATTTTCTGAAAGAAAAACCTCGAATATTCTTTTCCTTGACCGGCTTTCGCCGTTTGAGATATGGTGGCTACGAGTTGCTTCACAGAAATGTATAAATCTCAACCGATGGGTGTTAATCCTACGGGCGGTTGAAAGGATCCCGCGAGAGTGCACGAAGAAAGAAACGGCGATCGACGCGATCGTAAACGTGTTTTATAGGCCTTGGCCACGTTCTAATGTGGCCTGGCCTACGATATTATTGAGGGGCGCGTTCTCCGTTCGTGATCACGCCGTTCTTTCTCTGCCTTGCCTCTGAGAACAAGAAGCCGGTCGAGACCCGGCTGTTTGTCTTTCTGTACTCAATGCTTACAAAGGAGCGCCGTCGTAAAACGTGTGTTTACGTCTTTTACAAAAAAGAAAAAAACGAACATTAAATATGTACCGCTATATAATTTTTGTTCACAAATTTTTTATTTCGAATGAGTACTTATTCCTTATTCTCATTATTTTTTGTCTAAAAAATTATTCTATGTTTCATCAATTTTTATTATTCAAGGGACATTTATTATTACAGAGCCTCATTAGTTTCCGTCTAAGCACTCGACCCAAATTTTAATTAAGCAACGAGTATGAGTCGTCGTATATTTCCTATTTTCAACGAGAGTTTACTGATTAAAAAAGTTTTTGAAATATTTTGATGAAACCGGCACGAATGTCCGAAGTGCTAGCAGAGCGTTATGTGTTGCGCGTATCACTCTCATACTTCGAGTCCCCCCTTATCAGTTATTTTATCAATCACTTTCATGCCCGTGTCAACATCCACTGATAAATTTCATATCTCCCGTTGCTTTCATAACGTTTACTCAAATTAGGATTCACATGCCCTTCAAAATTGATATATCTACATTCATGCAAACTTCGAGTTTAAATAATTCATCGTACTGAAGAATAATATCAGAGATCGAGTATGATCCCATTTCTGACTATAAACTCTGTAAAAACTAATACTACAATATTCGACAACCGTTTCGAAACGATTTTGAAATACAATTTTGTGAAACAAGTTCGTGATTAATGTCTTTTTTCCATAGCCACGTCGTCGTTGATCCTCAAGACGGAAGAAGACCATCGTCGGTTGTCTAGCCTTTCTGGGGACAACGTATACGGCTCGGGGGTTAGAATCGGACGGGGTGAGAACGCAGTCGCAGTCAGTAACGGAAACATTATGGATTCGACACAATCGGCCATGATGAAGCAAACGGACTACGTCGTAGGTCAGTGAACTAAACACTTTTACGAATTCTTCTCCTAGCAAGAAATCCGCTGAATCGTTGAAAATCTCGTTCGGTTCATAGGACTTACAATCGTCTGTAAACTATAAATTTAACGATATTTCTTCGGCGTCTTTGAAAATTACGTCTGGAAAAATGCGGCAAGAGGAAAGCTGGTCGAAGCTGTTTTTTCCGTGTATATATTTGATTATTTGTAGTGATTTTTGTGATTACCATCCTCGTTGAACGGGCCCGTGCCGACTGTAATTTTAAAAAATAACGAAAGAATTGAAAGACTGAAGTGTAAACGATGAGACGAAGGTCAAGTCTCTGATAACGTGTCACGTGTAGTTAAGTTTTCTCATCGCAATATTTTTTCTGCTATGCTGCCTGCACATAATTGTTACGTAACAGAAATGAATTGAAGTTCAAAATTATTATCAGGATATCTGTTACACAACGTGTATAATAGTTTCTCGTAACATGCAATATTTCTTTAACTCAATGATGGGTTCTGAACGGCAGTGACGCGACCTGGAATTATCAAATTAATTTTACGACTCTTAAAAGTATCTTGTATGAATGTAATACAATATATATTTAGTGTCTGTTAAGAGTTCAACGTGATAAGCCGCTGAAATGTGGAAAATTCTAGTTTCTTAATCTAGTTTGATCAACAATATTGTGGAATAATTAATAGAGATATTTCAGTCCATTGGCCTTGTCTCGTTTGAATTAATGTTGTTTCAAGATAATGAATTATACACACATTGAACACTTGATACGTCTTATCATTGTTTACGTTCATTGCATTTTTAGCGTTCGCAGAATTTAATTTTAAGAACAGAGAAAGGCGAATGGAATTATCAGAAACAAAGCCAGTTATTAAATCGGAAATAAATTGTTTATTACAATTCTCTTTATTACATTTATGTTTATATTTCCGATTTGATCGTAATTGATCTGCAAGTATAAGCAGATTGTTTTCTACGACAGATGGTAAAAACATGTTTACACACTCGTTTAACGGTAGTGTGCGTTGTATGGATTAATTTTCAAGACCGTCTAAAGTGCGAGAAAGTAATTTATCCAGGTAATATCTACCTATCAATCTGCATATCCAACGCATTAATCTTTTTTCTGTTAGAATATTATTAATATTGAACTTGACCGTGAAATGACTAACGATGATAGAAAAGTCGTAATTGCATCTTAATTTTTTGAATTAAAAAAAGATATGATAATCACTTATGACGACTTCCGTACATTCTATGCCCATATAAAATTTTTATTCCATAATGCATCAAGTGACGAAAAAACTGGAGTGTCATACATTTAAGCATTTTTTCTGTATAATACGATCCAGTAATTCATCTGAACTTCTTCACCCAAACATAACAGTCTGATTGTTCGATAGAATTAAAACCGACTTCGACCAGCTTGATCATTGATCCTTAACTCTACATGCCAGTTGCTCGAGTAAAATGACGATGACTCAACAACTGTGAAAAATACAATGTTCTTATTAATTTAGCACGACCCATTGAGGAGATAATCAGACCGCGGAAACATACGCGAACGGCAACTTGTTAGATCGCGTAGGTACAAAGTACACTGTGCCACGCGTACTCGAAGGCGTGAACTGCTCGCCAGCGAATCGGACAAGGAAAACGAAAATGTGCACGCGCCGCGCAATATTTCCACTCTAATCAACGCTTTTAATGTTTCAGACGTCGTTTTGCCGACAGTCTTAATTGCCCTGCTGTTCGTCGGGAATGCCATCATCGTCTACATTATCTTCCAATACAGGAAACGGTGAGTAAAGTTCACCAACTTCCTTTACTTCTCTTTTGTGTTGACCTTTATCGTGTATTGACTTTATCGTATGACAATTCTTTTATAGGAAAGTTCCGTCAATGGAACAGGGGGAGGAAATGTCTTTGCGGAACGCGGCGGAAGTGCCGCAGGTATGATTCGCGGAGAGTCGAATTCACGATGCCAGCCAAAAGAAAGCGTTAACGAGATGGCCTGAGTTGCATTTTTTTCCTACGAGGATGATCTCTTCAAAAACGAAACGGATCTCTGGGATGAGGACCGCCTAAAATTTTAAAGGCCTCGTCCGTCTTTCATGAACATTCTCGCGAATGAATCGTCGCCGAGACTGTTAAAGGATTCTTGGTCGATTTCTGTGTTGGCACGTTCTCCAGTGAAAAAGCGCGATTCAACAAGCATTGTTTCTCGATACGCGATCAAGTTAATCTCGAAGAAAAGACTATAAATGCGTTCGTCGCCGCTCGTTAATTAACCATCGCTATTGTCAATAATTAGGAAAACCGAGGCGCCTACTTACTGCGTACTACATAGTGCTGCCACGATCTACTCACATTTACACGAACAGACAGACACATACACTTACGATAATGTATTATAATGTAAGAAAATAATATATTCTATATTTCGTCCAAATTGTGGCTAAAAAGAAATAAACGGATGTTTTCTTATATGTACTTTTCTGATTGCGATGCGATTTAAAGGGACATTGAACACAGATATAAGAATTACTATTGTTTTATTTATCCAACAATAATTAATGGAGTTTGATTAAAAATATTTCTGTAACGGTTCACCAAGAATTTCTTCGAGAGTGCGTACCGCGTTCTGTGCATACTTCTCCGTAGCTTCGTCCTCGTCTTCTAACAATTCTGCCAAGAACGGTATAGTTTCTGGCAGAAGCGGCATGAAATCTTCGCCGAGTTTTCTTACGATTTGAACCTGCGTCGATTGAAATGATTATTCAACTGATCGAAAAATATTTAAAATCACGAATTCGTCGGATCTACATGGAATATGAATAAAAAATAAATTTCTCCACTTACCAATGCGTTCAGCGCGGCACTCCTAATGTACGGTTTCGAATGTCTGGTCTTCAACAACGTCTGGTATACCAGTTGCTTGTGCAGAGTGTCGTCCGGAATGGCGCTGGCAAAAGCTGCAATGCATGGAACCACTAGTTCTTCCGCCCTTTTGTCGTAACTCTCCTTAGAGCCCATCGTGTTCTCCAACTGATCTACGATCGGCTGAGCCAATATTTCGAACCGCTCCTGGTTCACGAAATTGTGCGCATCGTAACTGAACACGCGGCAAAGAGTCAATAGAATAGCTTCTACTAACTCGATTTTGCTCGTCTCGTCCGGCAAAGTCATTTCCTGAGGTTCTTCCGTCATCGCTGGATTGTTACTACTCAACAATACCGCTGCATGTTTCAGGAAATGGCCAGCGAAGAGTACGAAAAGAGATTTCAGACACTCCGCTATATTGGCTGAAAGTCTATACAAATAATCACGGTTGACTATAATATAAATATCATTTATATTCAGTTAAAAATTAAAAAACTTAATGAGAAAAGCAACACGCAAATTTCCGGTTCTACAAAGGATTGAATAATTAATTAATTTAATCAACGAACCTATAGAATGTAATGCTTCGCTGCTTGTGCTGCGGATTCCTAGCGGCCCAATCATAAAGTTTGTAATAAAGCGGTCTAAACGTGGCTTCGCTTAGCTTTAACACTAACGAGACCAACGCTTTGCTGGCGCTCTCCTCTACGAGCACCACGTCCTTCGTCGCCAATTCTGATTCGTCCAACTCCATGCCATCGTCACTGGTAGAAATGTCCTCGCGAAATTGAAAAACCTTGAGGAAAAACGTTCCCAACTCGGGTATGGCCGCGTTCAGATCAGCTGGTTGTACACTACCGAACGACTCCGCGAGAACAGACATCAATGCCGGAATACAGTTATACGTCTTCTTCGCGAGTAACGTCGTGTACGTTCTGTTCACCGCCGGTAGTAATACTCTCAAGGGTATGCAGGTAGAAAGTTTTTGAGTTGTAGCGTTCAATCGTGATACCACGACACCGATCTGTGAAAGCAGATTCGTAAAACGTAAAAAAAATGTTCTCAAGCTTTTGTGATTTAAAGAAAATCGTCAAAAGATCAACGCTGAGAGTTGTATCACGAAGTATGAATGAAATAAGATTTTTAGATACCTTTGGATTTTCCGTGTCCGTGTATAAAGAATTCAATCTCGCCAGTTCAAACAGTAATTGGTCCAGATACAAAGATAAGAAGTTGCCCACGGACTCGACGATCTTCTGTAATGCACTGACTGTACTAACTACGATCATGTCCGGTACGCTTTGGTCGCAATGATTTTTTAGCAAGTCTAGAATCGCTGGTACGAATTTGTTCAGCGAGTGTATCGCATGAATCCGCATAGAACTACACAATTCAGCGACGCAAATTGCAGCGCTACTCAACACCGGTCCCTCTTTTGTCTTCAGAAATTCGGTTGCCATTTCCAGTATCTATAACAAAAATCCAAAAGACTATTTTCATCGGCTCATATATGAAATCGCAAGATCAATAATTTTTACGAAATACGAAACGATAAATATTTTTAACTTGCCACGTGAACATAAAAAATACCATAATTCGTTTTTATACTCACTGGTTTAAACACTGTGGGATGTTCGGTAGCCAATAATTTGGCAAGTAATTTCAAAGTAATTAGGACGGTTTGTTGGACGATCTCTTGTTCCTGCGATTCGGGTTTCGCTTTTGCTTGCATCACGTTTAACAATGATTCGATCAAACCCAACAAATCTTCGTGATCCTCTTCGCTGAATTTTCGTTGCTGAAGACGCGTGTTTAGAAGCTCCAACACTTTCCTTTTCACAGTCAATAATTCGTGTTCTATGAGGCGCTTGACGCTGACCAAGAATACTTGATTTGGTAGCAAATTGTTCACCAAATCCAAAACATCGTACAAGTGATGAAGAAGTACTTTCCAATATTTAACAATCGGCTTTCCTTGGTACCGATCGGCATTTTTGGATGTGCTTTGTATCAAAACGGTCAATTCGACGATTAATTGATCATAGTATGGTACGGTTTTAGTAACTTGATCGGAATCGAGTTCGGCGACTCTATTTATGAATTCGGGCGACGATAATAGATTGCTGAGAAATTGAACTAAGGTGTACTTGTAATGTCTCAACTGTTTCGGGGTAGCATTTGCGACGTCGAATACATGTTTGTACTTAAAAGACATCGACGACTTTCTTCCTTCTTCGTCTTCTAAGTCAACAGGCAGTTCTCTCATGAATTGTGCCAGTTTCACGCAAACTTGAATAAGTCTCGTCGACGGAAACTCCTGACATACTTGCAGAGCGAATTCCAACCGCTGTTCAGAATGTTTCTGATTCGTGATTCGCATGGTTCTCGACATAACGTGACTCTCGAAACTCAGCAAGAAGTACAGATGAAAATGATTGTCGAGCAATTGTAATAATTTCACGAACAGAGGCGTTCTTCTGTGTTCGGGAATGTCTGGTAGCGAGACGATGAAAGTCCTGAGGACCTCGCAAGCGTGAGTTTCGTTCTCGGCCGCGTTTATTATGGGAACCACGGTCTCGATGGTCTTGGAAATAATTTGGATGGAATAGGCGTCGTCTTGGCGAACCACCGAGCTGCCCATGAACGTGAAGATGGGCATGATGGTGTAAAGAGCGCAGCGTACGTCGACGATCTTCAGCAGCTCCACGAGGACCAGTAAAGCGTGATGATGAGTCTGCGGGTTTCTCGAGGTCCTGATGCATTGAGTGATCAAATCCACTTGCGAATGCGCGTCGCGAATCGGTAGTTTCTTCACTGCCAATCGATGAATCGTCGACAGTAATAATTGATTGGTGTATCCTATGGGGCCTTGCTCCTCAAAGCTGAGGCAAGTCTTCAGTAAATCAAACAGAATCGGATAGAGCAATTCCTCGTGTTCGATGTTGTCGGCTCGTTGGACGAATTCTAAGAGAGTCACACCGCGTTTCCATTCCCGTTTGTAAATGATCGTTGGATCGGGCAGAGAACGAATATGACTGAGTCGCCTTCTATTTTTAATTTTGTCGTCGCTTGGCTCAACTTGATTCTTCAAATTCTGCATTATCAGTAATTCATCTACTATTAGCTGCGCGTGTACGTGAATTTTCCTGATCGCTCTGTTGGCTGTAGAGATTACGTTCGCCATTTCGCAATTAGTGACCACGTCCACCAGTTTAGATAGGATTTTCTTCTGAAGATCGTTGGACACCTTCCCAGCGCTCTCGAAGAAAGTGTTGTCTATTTGCTTCAAGAGAATGACGCTCGGCGAGTGTTGAACCCCATTTTCTGTTACTATTTCAATTCTGTACTCTTCTATACCAGTTTCGAACAATTGCCACACTGGCTGGGAGGTGAGAGCCTGTACGGTCGCGCTGTTGAATCTCTGTAGTAGATTCTTTAACGCGTTTCCCGCAGACTTACGTCCGGCATTCATCCACAGAAGAGTTTGTATGAGTTCCAATCCAAAGGGAGCCAATTGTTCGAGTATCGTGGGACCGTTCACGTAAGTAAGAACCTCTAGAAGCTGCGACTTGATGTGTAACGGGGTATCCGGATCCATGATGAACTCGAACAATTGTAGCCGCACTTTCTGGAGATTCTTTCGGAGACTTGATTCCAATTGACCGCTCACGTCCGGATCGGGTGACAGTAAAACGTAAAGGGACAACGACAACTGATCAGGATCCAGAGATATTTCTGCACTTCTGTTAGCTAGTTCTTTTAATAAAGTTGAGAAAGGATCTATCGTTGTCGATTCGGCAGCGGCGATAATTTCCTGGAGAACATTTAAAGCCGTTGTTCGACACTCGTTGTTTTCTCTAGATAACGAGAGCAACAAATTCGTGACGAAAACTTGATCTTGAAATGCCCATTGTATCGACTTACACTGTTTCAATAATACCTGAGTGATCTTCAAGCAGTGGAAGGATGTTTGTACCTTCACCGGTTTCAAGTACAATTGAGAAAGGAAGCGAATGAGATCTTTCAATGTGGAAAAATGTCTTTGGAAAAATATCTGAAGGCAACGGGAATAATGTTTGGACCAGTATTTGTTCCCGATCCCATCGAAGAACATCTCGAGGAGTCTCAGAATCAAATTACTGCGGTGTTCATTGTTCTCGAAGTCCATCGTCGGGTTCGACTTCAGGTCTAGCCGCCTGTGCACCATTTCTAAAACGTAGGTGCCCACTTGCAGAGGCAGAACTCCTTGGGAAGTCAATTCGATCGCGAAATGAATATTATCTCCGGTGATGTTGTTGCAGTTCTGCAGCGCCTTTACTTGAGGATACTTCTTGATCATTTCTGTGGCCATTTCGATTACTTCTCGACCGACTTCCGGCTTCAGTGATCCGACAGGCACCCTGCACACGGATCCTAATAAAATCAGATTGAAAAACATCGAGGCAGCATCCCCGTGCGCAATCTGTTGTTTCATGGCTCTCAATATGCTATCTGTTGGAGGCAGCAGTTGCCAATTCAATATATTATGGAACGATGCTGATGAAATAGCTCCAGCGTTCGGTGATTTCCCTAAATCATTTCTCACGCTTTGCATGTAGGCATTGTTCCTGGCAAAATTTGATTTTAACACTTCCATCGCGATATCAACATCCGCGTTGTCGTTGGGGAACAGATATGGCAGCGACGTGATGAAAACGCTAGTATCGTCCCCGACCTCGCAGAGCTCCAGCAGAATTTTCAACGCTGGTTTGGCCAACAGCTTTCGACTAGAGGTATGACAAGTCGACAAGAGTATCTTCAGTTCATCGATTAGTACGTCTGTTGGCAGTAGAGTCGTTAAGCGTGTCGTTGGTATCGAGAGTACGGCATTGATCACGTCTACCTCGCTGTCGGTGAATCTGGACAGTATCGTGTTTGTCATCATTTCTTGAAAACTTTCAGCAATATTCACATCGTTTTTCGCCAATGTTTGCAATGCAATGATCCTCTGTTCCGGACTGACATGTATCAATTTGTCGAGAATACCGACGACGTCCTGTGTGTCTCTGGCTCCAGAATACCAGGACGTTACGAATTGCAGAGCCGACTTTGCGTTCTCGTCCGACTCGCTACGTTTCATCAATTTTTTTAAATAATCGTCGAATCTCTCTGGATATGTTTTCTCCAGTGTAAAATATAACTTTATCAGGAAATCTTGCGCTTCTTTCGACATACTGCTCGAAAGGAATTCCTTCTCTAACATGTTCGCTAAAATTAAGTCTACCCCATAATCGTCCAATCTCATTCTCGTCAATATTTCATTAACCATCCTCTGTGTTCGCTCCGTTCCCGTTGGGTCTTCTAAAATGATGCGACAACTAGTTTGCACCAATGGTACGATGAACCTTAACGTATTCATATTAGGCGATTGAATATTGATTGCGAGCTCGATGAACCAGGACAGTTCAGATAACCGAGTAGCTAGGTTTCGTGAGACCGTAGTGAGTCGATGGACAGGCGCGTTGTACAAGAAGAATAGTAAGAGCAACGCTTCTTCTTTCAGATGCGTTTTCTTAAACATCTTTAGGAGCAATTTCTCCGTAGTTTCGTCTTTTAATTTTACTTTGGACATCAGCTTCGCCAAGATCATGTAACTGCTGGCTGCGAAATCAGACACGGGGCACTCCATGCCTTTTAATATGGTCGGCAACATGTAACCCATTTGTACTTCGGAAATAGTTGGTAATCGCTCGATAATCCCTAATACCGAGGTAGTGTAGAACGCATACAAAGTACTTAAAGAAGAAGCACGATCCCCGTAAATTCTAGTAGCGAGGGCTACGTGGCCGCAAATCAATTTCAGAAGCGCGTTGTCCGTACTGAGACGATTAATCAACGTGACCGAGGCTAACGGAACACCGGCTTTCTGAAGAGGTTTTAACCAATGCCACTTATCGTTTTCGTCTGATAAATCTAACAACTGCAACGCTCGGACAAACATGCGGGTCTCGTGATAGGGTAATATCAAAATTAAAAACTGGTCTCTGTTAAATTCGTGTATACGAAATCTGTGTATTAACCATTCGAGCGCCTTGTGGGCAACGTTGATTAAGAAATAAGGAGATAAGAGAATAAGAAACTTCTCAATTCCCGCATCCAACCTTTTGTTAACTTTAAAGTCTTGTACAGCACGCTCTAGAGTCAATGAACTTTGTGCAAATAGGGTTTTTTCAAATTCTACAAAGAGGCCTGATAATTTAGTTAACTCACGCAATCCATCTTGTCCTGAAAGAATGAGGAACATTGCATTAGGTATTGTTAAAAGCAAGTTATTAGACAAACTTTTTAGATTTTAAATGAAATTGGGAATTAAATACCTATGTTTAGAACTGTTTCCCTGTCTAAATTAGCAGCTTCCTTAGGATCGAATAATAAGCTAGCACGTTTCTTATCTTGTAGCAAAATTTCCGTTTGTGGAGTTCTTAGTTTCTTCAACTGTTCCGCAAGAGACGTAGTCATTTTGTAGCTGTAAAAACAAAATTATTTACATTCCATTATAAGAAATGCTAACACACAGTGTACTTCTCCAACCTTTCAGCGTAACAATCTTACCGTATTTTCTATTATCGAAATGAATATACTCTATGAAATAATATTCACTTGCTCGAGTGTTAATAATTTTATTTTTAAAATATTGTATGTTTGGAGTATTCTAATTTGTTCAACAAAGTAAAGAAGTGGACACGTGCTCGACGTTCTACGAATAAAAAAGACCACGTGTTGGTTAGGCGCATCGCGCAGCTCGCGCAGCCACTGCGCAACGAGCCTCGCTGCCAGTGCTAGTGCGACAACTGCGACAGTGCGCAACGTGCGCAACGGATCTAATTTTGTAAATAAGCGTGTAAAGTGTTTTCTAACGAAGAAAATGAATAGTACATTGGAAAATATTAATCCAAGATTGTACAGAAAAGCGGACGAAAGGGAAGTCACTGCGAACGATGAGGATGAGGACATTGTAGATGAATTCGACGCTCGGGAAATTTTTGGTACGTCTCGACCGTGCGTTAACCTTTTAAAACGTTTATTTATGAAATATAATTTACAGATTTGATCAGAAATATCAATGATCCCGAACATCCTTTGACATTAGAAGAATTGAACGTGGTAGAACAAAGTTTAATCGAGGTAATGTCCACTGTATATCAATTGTAAGTATTCAGGTGCGAATAATTGATAATATTTTATTCCAGATCGATAACAAGGCAAATACAGTCCGTGTAATGTTTACTCCAACAATACCACACTGCAGTATGGCAACTTTAATCGGTTTATCAATTAGAGTGCAATTATTACGTGTTTTGCCTTCAAGATTTAAAGTTAATGTAGAAATCACACCAGGCACTCATATGTCAGAGACAGCTGTAAATAAACAATTGGCTGATAAGGAAAGAATAGCAGCAGCACTTGAAAACAGCCATCTACTTGAGGTTGTTAACCAGTGCGTCAGGATGAAGTCTTAACAGTAATATTACAATTTTTATAATATATTATAGACTTTATTGACATATGATAAAAGGGACAGTGTGACTCACCTGACCTTAGTGAGTGATAATTCACGATGTGCATTAGTATGTGATTTATAAATTGTTTTAAATGTCAGTGAATTGAATACTCCGGGTATTTTATTTTTATTCACCTAATGTCAGAATATTCTGATTAAAAATAAGAAAACATTCTCGGTGGGATAAAAATGAAACACTGTTAGAACATTAACAATTTGTTGATCTTGTTGATTGTTGAAAAATAAGTTGACATTTATTATTCAACTCTGAATTCTTATAGTAAGGTTTTTACAACTAATTAAATAGATAAATTGTATCTACAAAATGTTTTACAGAGAATGTCATTTTTTTACTGCTGACATCGTCGTCGCTTTCGGGTTGAATTTGTATGTCTTCTGTACCAGACCTTTACCAGCCCGATTAAATTGTATCCTATCCGCGCGTGCATGTTGCGCCAGCTTGTTAGACAATTTCATGTTCGCCCAAGCTGAAAAAAACAATTGTGAAAAATTAATATCGCTCACTTGAAAATTGCGTTGCATTTCGAATATAAATATGTCTCGTATTTACAATCGTTGAATGATTCGGAGAAGGATTTCTTTTTGTTGATATCAGATGTCACCATTTCCGGATGTTTTATGTAAGCCGGAATATTGAAATACTTTTTTACTTTCTCTTTTTTCAATGCTTCATTTTGTGCTATGGTTATGAAGTTCGAAGTGACCCAATGGCACAAAACTGCCTGAAATGTGAACCGTTATTTTAATATTTCGATCTATAGCCGATTCAAATATTTCAACGTTTGAACGCAAACACTGTTACTTACGCCAGGAAACCTCATTCCAAACAAGAATGAAATGATAGGCAATCCCCTCATAAGATATTTTAGTATTGGAGATATTTTCGCTGAACTCGCGTTCTTCATTGCATATTCGGCAACAAAAAACATTGATACAGAAGTGCATAAGGGTAAAATATAATACGGATCAGGTACAGTTAAATCCGTAAACCAATATATTCCACCGTGTTTTAAACTTTCCACGGGTAGATTGGTCATTCCTCTTAAAGCAATAAATATTGGTACATGAACGCCTAACTGTTAAAAGACACAGAAACAGACGTGCTTGATCATTTAAAATTTTCAACACTGTTGCACGCATAATCTACATACCCTTATAAAATTCGACGTTGGCATAATTTTAACCTCGTTATTCTTTAACAATGTTTGTAATTCATAAGCATATAACGCGGCTGAAAAATGTAAATACAATGCATTTCTTTTGTTTAATTAATTGTTATCTAAGTCATACCTTCTTCTACATTTCCAGCATTCCTCGCCTCAGTCAGTTTGGTCTGTATCTGGACCATTTGTGGTAAAACGTTCTGCAGTTTAGCATTGTTCTTCTGCACATCCAAGGTGAGTGGAAACGTTATAATTTTTATAAGTACCGAAGTTGCTACAATTGCTGCCCACCATGGCATATCAAAGGTTACGTGCAGCCATTCAAAATACCACTGTAGAAGCCCAACAGGGCCCCACCCACCTAATCCTAAACTCTCAAACGTAGGTTCACCATTTGCACTTAGTTTAATAGCTTCTACTATTTGTTCAGGTATCGGTACAGGTGGATCTGTGCGAAATATAGAATTACATATTTAATTTACATGTGAAATATTATGGTACCTTTTGTACTAATATTTTGTTACATTACCTGGTATTTCATTTAAGAGATCCTGCGCTGGTGTAGCAGTACTAGTAGCAGCTACTTCTTGCGTTTGCAATGTTGCTGAATCTAAAGATAAAACACAGATTTATAAAAGAGCAGAGTAAATCAAATATGATGTTAATACCTGAGGCTGTATTTGAGACAGGAGTAGTTGATGTTGGTGTACTTGATACTGGTGAACTCGATGCTGGTGCACTCGATGCTGGTGTACTCGATGCTGGTGCACTCGATGCTGGTGTACTCGATACTGGTGTACTCGATACTGGTGTACTCGATACTGGTGTACTCGATACTGGTGTACTCGATGCTGGTGTACTTGATACTGGACTTGAACTAGATGTTCTTGCTATGCTTTCCTTCACCGTTGTATTAACTGTACTTTCGTATCGTACGAGGCAGAATCCGCAAACTTTCGAATTATCATGAATATTGAATAAAAGATCCTTTTTTAAAGGACCTTTCATTGAGTTACACGCCAAGCGACTGAACTGGCATTCCGTTATTTTCTAAATAAGTTCGAATTTGCAACATTAAGATATTTTAATTATATTAAATATCCAGGTTATAACCTTATGAGAATGACTATTTTACCTGAATGCTTAGAGTTTTGTTTAACAACTTTCGTCCAATATGTACAGGTAATCGTGGCAACATGTTTTTATCTGTGCACTAACAATAATCGATTCTATATTACGATAAAACAAGCATGAAATATTAAATCTTCTGTCTCGTGTGCACGTTTGCATTCCGGTACTGTCCGGTACACATTTGCACTGTTACGCAGACTACCAGTATTGGGACACTACTACTGTTCTAAATAAATGCTCTCGCGCTTCATAATTGACTCGCCACACTGTAGATGACTCTGCGAGTTCAATTTGAAAATTTATTACATTTTCACGTTGTGGTAAATATAAAGAGTATTTGAATTTGAAATTATTCAGGCTAAAAATAGATGATTCAAACAATTCAGTCTGAAAATAGTAAAACTAACCAGGTTCGTAACACTCAGTTCAAAGACACCATATTCAACCGATTTAAATCTTGTTTTTCCACAATTTTAAATTTCACAGTGTCGAATAATCAATTGCCAAAATTCTGTAGATGACTCTGCGAGTTCAATTTGAAAATTTATTACATTTTCACGTTGTGGTAAATATAAAGAGTATTTGAATTTGAAATTATTCAGGCTAAAAATAGATGATTCAAACAATTCAGTCTGAAAATAGTAAAACTAACCAGGTTCGTAACACTCAGTTCAAAGACACCATATTCAACCGATTTAAATCTTGTTTTTCCACAATTTTAAATTTCACAGTGTCGAATAATCAATTGCCAAAATTCTCAATGTCTTATATAGAAATAAAATGTAAAAAATACTGAAGCTTCGTATTGAAAATTTGAAATAAATATATGGGAGAAGCTAGGAATTTAAAAGGAATTTCGTCTTTACGATAATTTGCAAATTTCATAAAGATCGAGTTAGAAAAAGAGGATGGTATTTCGTTAATCAACTGCAGAGAATTTTCTGCTCTTTCACGAGCTCGAGAGATTCGAGGTGCCTCGCTAACAGAACACTAGCATTACGCTGTCAGTGCCGACGACTCGCTATGATCGAATCTGCCGCAATGACATTCAGTTTACGGCTTGGGACCGGGGTTATTAAGACAGACCTACTATTTAAGTCCCTCTTCGGTTTCGTCTCTGGCCCTCCCTCCGTCCACCTCTTGACCACGTAGCACGACGTAGCCCCTTTTCAATCAGGTTGCGTTATCCGTCCGTGGATCGGCCCTCTCTCTCTCACTCTCTCTCCTCCTCTTTGTTGATTCAAAACGATAATACATGGCTGCGAGAGATTTCGTATGAACAAAAACAGAACGAAAAAAAGAACGGGGGATCGTGAAAAGACGGCGCGGTTCTAATTACAGATTCACATTGTCAGCAGAAGTCCCTAACCGGCCCGGCTTTTGGCACCGGTTGTCAATTTCTTCACGAAATAATTCGGTAACGACTCGCCTCATGGATGGTGCAACAGACCGCCACGTTGTTATCCCCATCCGCCGGTGAACGCGAGTCCGCAACGTTCAATTAGACGCCGGTCAAATTATTTATCCGACTTGCTTTCAATATTGCTTTGATATAGTCGCCAGAACGGCTGGACTCGCGGTGATTATTAGGCCTAACGAGAATACAACGTGTAGTCTTTCGAACCCCTTCAAGTTCTCGCTAATCGTTATCCGACTTACGTGACTCTACAAACTTCGAAATTTGTACGAGAGAGACAACGGAACAGAGGCCTAGGGCTTTTCCCTGAGGTACTCCGAAAATCTAGCGTCGATCGTGCAGAAGATCGAAGATCGCTTCCTGGACACTTGGACAGGATTGACCACTTTACGCCTGGGTAACAGGTCAGCCGGAGCGAGAGGAGATAATGGGATCGACCGTCCCCCGAAACCGAAAGGGACAAGATAGTGAAGCTGTCACAGGAGAGAGACGACACCGGGTACGGTCCTCGTGTCAACGTCGTATCGCGATCCCTTTGATCGCGCCGATAAAACCCTTGAACGGAATTTTCGTCGTTTTCGACGGTAATCTTGATGAAGACCATAATACTTGGACTAGACCGAGCGATAGAAAAGAAGCCGTGTATTCATTATTTACAGCATCGCTGCTTCATTAATTGTCGTCGAGTTTTACTCTTATAACATGACTACATGTCAACGTTTCAAATCTTATAATATAATTAGGAGTATTTCGATAAATTCATAGTAGCGTTTCAGAAATGCCAATCAGTGGACTGCGAATTGCACTAAAATATTTGCGTTAAAAATGTGCATTTTAGACAAAGATTTTTTTTATCATTCGAATAATGCATTCACGTTTGATTTTTTTTTTAATAATCTCACGGTGCGTTTGGATTTTCTGTATATTAAATTCTTGTATAATCGCATAAAATCCGCAGTCTACCCATCAACAAGGTCGATGCTTGTCTATGACAAATTGCGTTCGAAGCGACCCAACGAAACTTCGATCGATTCCCTGGCGATATTAACAGCGCGCGAGCCGAGCGTTCGCCAATTATCGCGAAATTTGCCCATAGCCGGCTGCTTGCGCACACGTGCTACGGTGCGAGAGTCGTTAATGAAGATCGACGAACCGGCAGCTGTTGTAAATCAATTTTTAATTCCGATGCCGCGCCGATTTGATCGTCACGTCGTAAAAGTGTTGCTAATACCGCGAATAAACGTCGACAAGTAATGCGCGACGTGTTTTCTGCCCGATATTAATGATTATTATCCGTTGTGGCACAACTCCCGGGAAGAGCTTTACTGCGTTCACATTCAAACAGAGACGGTATTTGCAGTGTGATTCTCTGAAGACCCGTGATTTTCAGTGGGCAATCCAGAGTTATAGTCAGAAATGCGAGGTATAGGAAGAAGCTTGTAAAATCCGGGTGCCTCAGTAAAACGGGACAGAACCCCTATTGTTTAAGGGCGAATGAGCAGGCCATTCGTAGTTCGTGAATAAAATCGAGGGGTTCTGAACGACCCGTCCCATCGACCGGCAGGTATTTGGGTCTATGGGAAATAGTGGCGATTTTCGTATATTACTCCGTAACAGTTTTAAGTAGGAGAACTGGGTTTTATTAATACAAAGGTTCGGGAATTGGATTCCTCTTAAGATGGTGTGTTTCCGATCCTCGAGGAACCGGTCAGGTTGTAAGAACCGCCCCGAACACGTACCCCAAACGATTTCCGATGAAAAGTCTCTATTCACCGTCGCCGGCTCTTGAATGGTCGGCGTCTGGCGACGTCTAGGACACGAAGGTGCTGCTGGTAAAAGAACGAGGATCGTGTCCCGAGCTATCTTTCTCTTTCTACCCTTCGGGCCACTTTAAACGTCTTCATGAGTTTCGGCTGTTAACACGACCGTGGAACCAGGTACCGGGGTTTCTTTTTTAGATGTCTGCTTCTCTAGTATCTGCGGGATCTCAGGTGGCTAGCGTCCTGGCACGCATTCGTCAGGGACAGATAAAGTCGTGATTGGACAGGAAGTACGGCACGGTGCAGGCGAAAGAGCCGGCCACCGTGTTTCTCGTTCTCGTTCCCTCGATTATGGGAGACTGGTTCTTTGGCCTGAGGTCGGTCGAAGTATACTGATCGACTCGATGTCGTGAGAAATCGTTGACTTCTTTCAACACCTCGTCGAAGACGGACAGAACACGGACTAAGTGTTAATGACGAATTTGAAACGTTTACTTATTATATGAAGTTCGCTTAATGAGAAACTATTTTGAACGCAGATGCGGCTAACGACTTCCTCAAAATAATCTGGAAGTCGTCAAACAGGATCAAAGATCGAGCGATTAGGGTCATAAGAGGGAAACAATAGTCCACTTTCATGAAATTATGCTAAAAGAAAAGATTCAGCTGGTCTGCTAATGGGTGCAATCTGTTCTTCTTGTATATCGGAGTCATCGGACGCGCTTTTTCCTGATAGCTGGCAACTTTAAGGCTCTTTTGTTATTTTCCCTTGCTTATGGTTCTCGCGTGTCGAGATACGTAATGGTGTATATGTACTATGTAAAGAAGGATAATCTAACAGAAGGAGAGAGAGAGATACGTACGTGTCTCGTTGCAGAGCGCAGGGTTCGTGTACGATCATAATGTGCAAAAGGAAATCGCCTCGCTTTAAGGTAAATGCTCGGGAGTCGGGAGCGACGCGACGTGTGCGTGCCCTGGCTGCGTGTGAACCACCACCGGTTTCCTTTCATTCACTAAAGTTTCTTCATCGCGAATGTCGCACGATTGCTGCGCTCGATTATCGTTGTGCGAGCATCATCTCCGTGGAAAAAAGGTGTTCCCTCGCGGAACCGATCCGCGGTTAACGGGATCGTCTGCAAATTCTTACCGAACACGCATTTTGATAATCGCATTAGTTTTGCAGTCTCTTGAATGTTAAAATAGCTTAGCCTGTTAGCTTAATAATTCAGATTTCGCGCATTTACTTGTATCATAACGAGTAGATAAAAATCGGGTCTTAAAAGGTCAAAAGTTGGCTGCGATTCGGTAAAACCGATACGCGGTTAACGTGCGAAACAGGGAACACGAAATGCGAACGAAGCCGCGAGATTGATCGCAGGATTGTTTGGCGGCCGGGAGAAATTGTTTCCGATTAAAATTTTATGAGCTCGTCCTGGTTGTTGCGTTTTATTGTTTGTAAAAGCGGGAAATGTAGTTCAGCGAATCGACTCTGAGCCCGATTGTAACGCGCACAGAAATTCGTTGTGGATTCATTCGTAATTCGTATCTCTCTCTAGTTAATTTTGAGGTGCGAAATTTTCGTTGCTATGCTTCGAACATTGTGTTGCGAAGAAAATAAGAAAACAAGTGTCGATATAAAAAATTTTTATTTGTGCATTTATATTCTTACAAGGTTTCATTCGGTTATAAATTTCAGTGTATCCTTTTTGTTAGACTTATAAAGAGAGAATTCTTAACATGAATTACTGTCAAATTTAACTTGATCCATGAAAATTCTGGAGATCGTCTTGAATACGTCGATGAAAAATGTAGTTCGCGTGACTGAAATTCGTGCGCGTGGGACAACGGGGACCGCGAAATTCGCTCGCGAACACACGCCACTTATCGTAATACGCTTGCTTAATGCTCGTCGCGAGGAGGTGCTCTCGCGTGTAACCATCGCATAGGAGCTTAGGAGCGTTCGTGGGACCAGAGAGACCTCCCTCTCGCGATTCGTCGGCGCGCGAGGATGTGCATCGAGAACATTCCCACAAA